TGAAACACCACACGTGCTACAACTACATCTCCCTGCTGGGGTAAGAAATAGCAGATGATATTTGTGAGGGAAGGTGGGATAGGTTTCAAAGGGCTTTTTGCCCTGCTCTGAGTGCTGGTATCTTCTCTGCAAGTGCAACATAGCCATAAAATACCTTGCACTAATTTAGTCAAAGTCTTGGCGCTAATGCTATCTCAAGAGCAAAATGTTTTTGCTACTTTCCTTGCATTCTCTCCTTCCACTCCCCACCTCAGAATCAAGCCCTTTAGAACACTAAGAGGATAACCAAGATAATAATTTACTTGACCTTATCAATATTCCTTTTCATCAAGTGCAAAGCAAAATATTTTTATCACAATAAAGTTCATTCTAATGCTGTATTTATTACTGTTCCCTCATCCAAATATAAATGCAGACCTCTGAAAAAGAGCACATAACATCACACACATTCCAGCTGATTACATAAATACTGTAAGATTACTTAGTAAAAATGATTGCTTGTGAAAAACATTATCAAGAAAGGGTCACTGTACTTTCATGATAAATGCTTTTTGTTAAGGCAAGTAAGAAGAAAGTGTGTGTGGAATTGTATCAGAACCGCTGTACGTGTATAACTTTTTTGAAGCAGAACCTTTTATGAACTAATTCTAAAGCAAAATCAATAATCTTAAAAAATAATCCAGGATTTCAAAACTTCCTTATTTTGCATCAGCCCTGTTACCTGTTCCATTAATATTGTCATCATAAAACTATGACGTAAGAAGAGCCACTCTGACTGAAATGTTTTAAATTAAGATAGTGGAGATTTAGATTAGATATTAGGAGGAAATTTTTCACACAGATGGTAGTGGCATACTGGAAAAGGTTGCCCAGTGTGGATTTGTGGGTTGTGGATGCCCCATCCCCAGAGGCATTCAAGGGCAGGCTGGATGTGGCTCTGGGCAGCCTGGTCTAGCGACCTGGTTGGCGACCCTGCCATGGCAAGGGGCTTGAAACTAGATGATTTTTGAGGTCCTTTTCAACCTAGGCCATTCTATGATTCTGTGATAAACATATTTCCCTGCCATGTCCCCGGAACTTTCCCACCATCTACCCTACAGGAAATCTTGACCCTGGTATGGTTTTCTGAGTAACCTGCTGTCTTCTGAACATTAATCCCATCGTTCTATGGTGGGATACAAACATTTTTTTATCCTGCTTCCTCTGGGAAGGAACCTCACAGACCCGCTACCTGCTGAGTGAAAAAACACCTCCTTTTGTTTGTCTTAGACTTAATTCCTTTGATAGTCTGCAGGTTTTGCACTGAAATAATGTTGTCCTTATTTCCAAGGGAGTTTGGTGATTCATTTTCCAAGTCCCTGGCATGGCACTTCCTGGATGTTGTACAAGACCCATTTTAAGCAGACATGCACACCAATATTGATTTTTTAGTCGGTTGCATGTTGCATGTGCATGGCAACACTACACTCAGGACAAAAGCTTACAGCAGAGCAGAAGATAATGAGGTATATTCAACATCTGCTTTATCTAGCACTTCCTCAGTGCCAGTATTGATGGGTTTGAGATACAAGGCAGAGCTTACCTGTTCCCTGGGCCTCACATGAACCACCTGCTGCTGTGCATTGGCATTATCCTCCACTGATGCTGAAAGCAGTGCATATCCACCAGCCAGGAGTGTGCCCTTTGGTGAGTTCACTTGTTAAGTTCAGCCTCAAAGACCCCAAGGAGACACAGAAGAGGACTGTCTTTTCTTCACCTGTTTTCACAGTAAGTAAAAACACTGAAATGCTTTCTCTTCCATTCCTTAAACTTCATAATGAGTCTCTTTAATGAGATTAAAAGATAGAATGGCAAACAGAAGTGAAAATGTTACATCCCCAGATGGCAGTAAAGTTCATTCAATTTGATCACCTGAGGCAGAAAAAGCAAAAGGTAAAGATGAATATATAAAAATATCAGTGCAAGTCTCTGGCTTGGAAAGGCTGTTTGTGAGAGAGTGAAACAAAACCGTTCTAGTAGCAAAAACAGCAACATTATTGCAAGCCAAGTGAAGATCATACAGAGGAGAAATATGGCAAAAGATCAGCTCTGCTTAGAAGAGATCTCACAACAGGATTAATGGAAAGAATTTTCACGGGAACATTGCACCAGATCTTTGGCTGTGGCAGATGATATGCGATGCTGATGTTGGTATATCTGCTCCCCTTTTGTCCCTTACATTTTTCCCTCTCTACATTTGGTAGTATTTTATTATAAAAAAATTTTAATTTGTAGTGCAGGAGTGCAGAGCTTCCTGCGCTGTGCCAGGCACAGTGCACACTAGTAGGCACACGCAGCTCCATCTTCACAGAGCTTCTGATACAAACATAAGAGGCAGAAATAGCAAACTAAGACAGGATGGATAGGTAAAATGTGAAGCTTGTAAGGGCTGTTTTCCTGTGTCTCTCCCACAGTGAGTTTGACAGGAGCACAAAACATCATCAGATATTCACAAGAGCAAAAAGGCCCTGTGAGGTACTAGAGAAAGATGAGGAGAGGATCTTTATAGGTGTCATGGTTTTATGATTTTTGGTTATCAGTATTCCACACCATAACATCATGTAATGCACTGGGGGGTTTGATTTCTGATGCTCGAGTTCCAAATGTTTGTCCAACGGAGAAGAACTACATTTCCCCACGAGGCTTTGTGGTCAGCGAGGAGATATAACTCTGTGCAAGGTCACCTGATTCCTTCTTCTTCTCCTGCTCTTCGCCATCTGCACTTCGCCGTCTGCTTTTCGTCATTCACTCAACTGGACTGCACTTCTCACCTCAGCGTTGTGATGAGGCCTATCTACCATTCAGACAAACTCTCTCTCTCTCACTGTACTTTGCTAACACTATATTTAGTAAATCATTTGTTCCACCTCAGATTATTGCCGTTGTTTTCAAGTATTTTGGGGTCCCCTATTTCCCTTTTCCGGAGGCATGGATTCACAGATCCCTCCGCCCCTCTGGTCATGGAACCGGGCCAAAGCAGCCCGTAAACCGTTGTGACAAACCTACAGTAGCTGCAGCCAGGTGAGACAAGAGGGCTGGTTAGTCCTACCTTGCCTTCTGGAGAATTGTCTGCCACCAGTACCAGTTTTGGGATCCTCACTCCTATGGGCTTTGCTGTGTCCTATTGCAATGGGTCCTCTGCCTGGCTGGGTCTAGCACCGGCACCAATAAAACAATGTCTCAGCAGGATAAGAGAGGCCACTTTGCAGAAATGCAAGAGAACAGTCAGGGTGCTCTGCAGAAGAGCTCCTGTTCTCTTCCCAGACAGAAAGAGTTTCTACTTACTGCACGGAGACACAGGCTTATCTTTGTTGTAAAGGGAAAACACAAACACATGTTTTGGCTCCTAAGTACTAAAAAGGAGTCACTTTTCTCCTGGCCACCACGTGAAGCAAAAAATGTCACATTTTTTTTTTAAATAGGAAAAAAAAAACCCACTTTTTTGGGGGATGTCCTGATAAATGAGCACTTTGGATTTGAATGATTGGGGTAAAGATGGCTGTGGACACTCCTTTGCTGAAGGTTTGTGCTGTCTGAACAGCCCACTGTATCAGGCAGAGCCAAGGACATAACTGCACACAGCTTGACAACTAATCAACAGTTCATCACACCAATGCTGTTCCACAGCAGCTGAATGCAGATCAGACAAGAGCTTGCAAACTGCCCACCAGCGATTGCTGAGTGATAACACATGCAGTTCCCCACATGTTTATGCAGATACTCAGATTTATCTGACAGTTTTATACCCAGAAGCATGATACTCAGTAATTAAAATTAAAAATGTTTTGACAGCCAAAACAAATGGCTATATAAATTAGAAAGCTGTAAAAAGCAGTGGTATCCAAAAATAAAGATCCATAGATAAATCAGAATGCTGTAACAGAGAATGTTTTAACATAAATGTGTTAATGTACAGCAGTTCTTAAATATAGGCTCAAGATTGTGACTGTAATTTTCCAGTAATAACCAAGAGAAGCTGTGAGAGATTAAATGGAAAAAAATCTTGCTAAAGAAGGGGTAGAGGAGAAAGAAAGTATATATATTTCCAGTGGGAGTTAAATCTTATAGGGAGGTGGTAGGTGGGGGAGATGTGCTGCTGTTCAGGGTTTTCTGCCCACTGTCTTGTGAATAGGGTGGAGGTGAGCGTCACAGCCTCAGGAGGGGGCTGGAGGGTGCCTTTGCAGTGTATCTTCTGTAGATGGCAATAAGGACCAGTAAAGTCTCTTCATTTCCTGCTATGCTTGCGGAGTCACCTACTGCTTATCTTGTGCCCACAAAAGGCAGAAACTTTCCTGGCTCTGGTTCCCACTTGTACAGCTCTGCATCAGAGGGCAGGTGAGGGCAATCTCCATTAAACAAAACAAAACAAAACAAAACAAAACAAACAAACAAACAAAAATACAAAAAACAACCCCACAACCCCACAGTGATTAAGCTGCAAATGTTTCAGATAAATCCCTTCTCCTTTGTCTCTCTGAAGGGCCTGCAGCTACTTGGCTTACCAAAAGAGCAGTGACCTAGCCCTGACCCTTTAAGTAGACCCTGTGGCTTAGCAATAGCTCTTAGCAGGTATTCCCTGCCACTGGTTTACAGCTGACATCAGTCACACTGCCTGGGGTCCTCTGGGTGCAGCTGCCCTCTGGCCTTGGTGGACAGATTGGGAGCAGGGAAGAGTCTGGGTTAAAAAAATGTCTGCAAGCTGAAAGGGTATTTTCTGTTTTCTGTTTCTGCCACAGCACAGAAAGGGCTTGGGATGAAAGGAAGGTTCAGGAATGGGTGATAGGAGAAGACAGTGCAGTCCTCTTTTACATTTCTCCCGGGGATCACCACACCTTTATCAGTCCTGCTGGAGTTATCTAGGATTTTTGAGCATACAGTTCTGTCAAATGACAACGGGAAGGAAAATGAAGATACAATAACAAGCTTAGGTGTAGCCAGGTAGTTGGACAAGGAGGGTAGCAATAAAAACATGATTACATAAGACACTATTCCTGCACACAGCTCTTTGAAACCTACCACATCCCTTCTTCAGATTGGCTGAGTTCACGAGGATGAATGCAGTCTGTCTCTGATTTCACCTCATTGGCATAGCTCCAGGTGGCTTCAGTAGGATGCCTTGATTTTCTCTAGGCACTACTGAAAACAAAATTCATGGCAGGCTCTGGAAATCAGAGATGTTTGTACTGAGCAGTAAGCTGAGAGAACAAATGACAGAATACTAAGACTGATTTTCATGGCTTAGTCTATCTAATTAGGTGATTCCTGAATAGGTACAGCTATTGGGGAGAAAGGCAGAAGTTCTGCGTGCCTTTCCTGGAGAGATATGTTAATGCCATGATTGTGAGGATGCCTGCTCATGGTATAACTTTACCAAGAGGCAGGACAGGGCATATTTGACTCTTTCTGGGACAGAGAGTTCTGAACGCAGAATCATATAAATGAGTTATGCTTTAAAGAAACATCACAAGCTGGGTGACACCAATTACCCCTCCATTGGGAATGGAGCTGCAAAATCTCTTAAAACTGTATGGATTAACTTGAGTATGTGACTTGTTTTCTGTATATTTTTCCTGTTTGTTGCCAATACATAGCAACTATGCTTACTCCATTGGCATTAAGCTGTAAATCCATAGCTCTAAATGGAGGTTTGTAGCTATAAATCTGCAGTAGTGCAATAAATAGTTTGTCCTTTGAGTCCTGATAACATTACTTCTGCTCCTAGTAGTAGTTATGGTTATTTCTCCCCTTGTATCTTCAAGCTGAGGTTGCCAAACAAATCTGTATCACTTTCTTTGTATTTGAGCGGTGGTGTGGCAGTAGTTGTATGTGTGTCCTTAATGGGGAGGTTATTCCACATTGAATCTCAGAATCATTGAATCTCCAAGTTTGGAAGAGAGCTCTAAGATCATCCAGTACAACTGCCCACCATCACTAATATTTCTCACTAAACCACGTTTCTCAGAAGAAAATTTAGATGCTTCTTGAACACCTCCAGGAACAGTGACTCAACCACCTCCCTGGACAGCCCATTTCAGCAACTGACCACTCTCTCAGAGACGAAGTATTTCCTGAAATCCAACCTGAATCTCTCCTTGTTCAACTTGAGGCCACTGACTCTAGTTTTACCATTAGTTACATGGGAGAAGAGCCCAACCCTCACCTCATCATAACCTCCCTTCGGGTAACTGTAAAGAGCATCTGTTCATTGCGGTGATGAGCTCCAGAACCATTTCTTGATTGATTCTTCATTCAGACTGGTTGTGGTGGTTGCCCTGGATTTGTCTTTTCTGTCTTGCATACGAGACTTTTAAACAGCTCCAGTATTTTAGCTGTTCATGACAGGCACTTAAAAACAGAAGAGAACTTTCTAAATGAAATGCATCAACAAAACAGGTGACAGTTTGCAGCTTAATTGTGCTATAGAGAATGTGCTTACCATGGCCTTTAGAAGATTCTTGTATGCAGCTGAAGGTCAAAAAGCCTTTTTAGTTTCTCCTATGAAGAGTCCGGAGGCCCATCTTTTCAAGGGAGTGAGTCCAATGCTGACAAAGTAGGCAGTGAAATGGAAGCTTTTTGCATCCTCGGGTAACCACTCAGCACTAAACTCCTCATGATAGTCTGCTCTGCCCACTTCTTACCAAGAAGCACAAGTGGGAGGCAAATGTAAGTCCAATAAAAAGCCAGGGCAGTAAAATGATGTATTTGGCAGAGCACAGGTGGGAAAATGACTTGGCACCTATTGTAATCAGACTGCAAGGAAGAACAGAGAGAAACTTCTTGAATGCACTTATATTTTTTACATATTACTTATATTCTTTGCTCCAAATGGCCCAAAGCTTAATGTATTCAGTCCTTTTTCTCTCTGAGGACTGTTTAGTGAGGACCCCAGTGGAAACCAGATTCACAGGGCTGAAAGGAGGCTTAATTCAATTGTAGTCAACCTCCCTAGAGGATGTTCTGAGTTTTAGGACACTGATGAGAAAATGTCCAAAATGACGTTTAAAGAGAACGTGCCCTTCCAATTCTTCTCATTTCTTTGTGTGGTTCTTCTTTTAGATAGAGTCTATCCACACAACTGTTTTGGTAAAGCTTAGATGGAAACATGCTAGAGTAGAACACCTATCTTTTTGATCTTTGACTTCAAGGTGTGTTGTCTCAGCTGGTCCTGTTGAACACATGCTATTGGTCTTTATAAGAACAGAGAGACCACACTTAGAGGCATCAGATGAAAAGGATGCCACTATTTGATTTTACCTTCCCTTAACCAAGAAAAATAATTTCTGATAGTTTTTATGATTCCTAAGAGGGAAAACTGCATTGTGATCTCAAGTTGTGCTATCTGTTGTTTTCTTTGGTACTGCCTCTTGATGATGAAGAGGTGCTTTTCACTGGTAATGACTATTGTGGAGTACTTTTTAATTAACAAAGGTGTTGGCAATGGCTACAGGCAGATCTCACAATTGTCCCTTGCATTATGAAGGATGAAATCATTCTGTTCTTCTGCCCAGTAATGGATCTCTCTAAATGCAAGATCTACAACTGAAATATCTGACAGTTTACTTATGGTCAAACCTGCCAGTGGTTTCACATATTGAAATATTAGTAAATAGCTAAAATGAAAATCAATAAATTCTAGAGGATAAGGCAGGCAACCCCCTTCAGAACCAGACCTTGGTTTTCACATGAAGGGTTGTGACCTGTCTGTGCAAACCTTTTCCAACAGGCTTTTACCTGTTTGGACACGGACGACTCTCTGATCATCATTTCTAATTTCAGGGACTCACTACTTTGTTCTGTTTATAAAAGCCCCCGTCAAATATCTGCTTTCTTTAATTTCCAAGGAAAAGCATGTGAAGTGCATGTGGTCTTTACCAGCCAGGCTTAGATGCCATCAGATAGGTTCAGAAAATCGTTATTTAAACCACTATTAAAATTATTTCAAGATTAAATTCCAAATGGAGAAGCATTAAAATGCATGATCTCCATCTGCATAATGCTCTTCCAGAAATGATTGTCCTCATTTACAAAGTGCTTCTACTTAGCAAAAGTTAAAAAAAAAAAAAAGAAAGCAGCTAGTTTTTAATTCGCTAGACAGGAATTCAGGGATATTCAGGGATTACTGAGAATGAACACATCCCAGAGGGTGAGAGACTGGCATTTTAGGCTTTATAAAATTAATAATGGCCTGCTGATTCACTTGGCATTAACAAGTGTTTACTTATAAGGATCCTAGACTAGTGAAAATAAAAAAAGTGTTGAGTAGTAAATTATGTGAAATAGACATATTGATAAATGAAATGAAATGAAACTTGCTACAATTAAAAAAGAAATAAAAAATGAGGCCTTTCTGTTATTGAATGGGTGATTGCTTCTATGTTACCATGGAAGCTCTTCCTTAACTCTGCTTGAAAAAAGGAAAAAGAGTTCCATGAATCTGTGATCTGACTTTTTATTCTTTTTTCTTTTAAGTGCAGTTCTAAAAAGTGTGTTCAATAACTTTAATAATTTAACTTTAAGCATGAAGAAATTTGCAGAAGATATTCTGCAAAATACCATTGTAAGGAGTAACTATTTGTATGACAGTGGATAGCACAGAGGTGAAGCTAACAATAACCTTGAATACAGACAGACATCTCAACAGACTAATTGCCGAAGAATTCATCTGAAGGTATTTGTTACTTCAATTGTCTTAATATGAGTAACATGATTTTCAGAAGTCTGAAATATCCACAGATCTCATGAGAACTAATGACAAGAGGAGTTGTTCAGCATTTATGAAAATTGGGTCATTTCTAGTTAACTGGAATCACTGTGGATCCTCTATCCTCATGTCCTACAGGAACCTGAAACTAATATCCTACAAACTGACCGGTACATTCATGGCATTCATGGAATGGGGGGAATGTAAATTTTATTTCAGCTTTGTGAAAGCAGAGATACACTTGTAATTTCAACATATAGTTCAAAACCTCTTCCTTTAATCCAATGCAAACAGAATGCACAACTCTTGGCTCACTTATAAAGATCTTACGCCATATTTTTGCCTGTGATCTCATGCTATTCCAGATGCTGAAAGGCTCAGGTCTAGAGAAAAACATTAGACTCAAAACCTTCAATTGGAAAACAGATTTTTTTTTTTTTTTTTTTTTTTCACAAGTGTTGTAATTTCTTTTGTGCTGCTACTGTCTTCTATTAGGTTGTGGGGTTTATTGACTGTTTTGTTCTGTTCTGTTTTGTTTTGTATTGGAAATGCAAACTACTACAGAGTCTGGTGTTAGGTTAGAGAGATACCTTTCTCTGCTTGCTTCTCACCTGCAGAACAGGAACCTGAAAGAGGCTGCTTGGAGAGGTGGTGAATGTCCTTTCCTCAGAGACATTCAAGGTCAGGCTGGATGGGGCTCTGAGCAACCTGGTTGAGCTGTATGTGTCCCTGCTCACTGCAGGGGAGTTGGACAACCTGACCTTTAAAGCCCTTCCAACTCAAACAATTCTATGATTCCATGATTCTATGCAGCAGGGAATAGAGACTGGCTTTCAGAGTGACTGGCTCTTGGACTTAAAGGGGAAGGAAAGGTCTTGGAGCTGGCTCAGGAAGAGGGGTGGTGAAGGGTCAAGAGAGGGCTCAACTACTCTGGTGAACTTCTAGAAAGATTTATTCACGTTCTTCTAACTTTTCTCTGAAAACTCAGGGCAAAAAGGTGAACTATGTGTGCTACTACCTGTGCTGGAGAAGTCCCCCCAACTGATGTGACATTTCTTGTGGGGCACCATGCAAAGCTGGTTCAGGCAAGGTGCAGCAATGCAGCGTCACAGCAGCTCTCATCACATGACCCTGGGATATTACAAACTAGAACATGGAGGCTACTGTACCTTGCTCATTAGAGCATGTCTTCTCTTGCACCATAAAAAGAAAACATATTGAATTATTTCTCTCCTTGACTGTTTGTGCGTGAAGATAAAGAGCAGTTCCTCTGTTATTCTTCCTTCTGTCACCCAGTCTTGAAGATGGAACACTAAAGCATGGGTTGTTACCCCAGTCACTGTTACAAACAAACAAAAAAAAAAACCCTCAAGCAATTCTCTGTCCTGCTTCAAAGTTCAGCACTACCCAAAAAAAACCAAAACACCTTGGTCCTAGCATGGTCACCCGTGAAGAATACAGGGATGTCGTCCGGACTTGCATATGTGGGATCAGGAAAGCCAAGGCACAGGCAGAACTGAACTTGGTGAGGGATGTTAAAAACAATATGAAGACATTCTACAGGCATACTGGCTAGAAGAGACAGGCCAAAGCAAGTGTACCTCCTTTGGTAAATGTAAAAGGAGAGCTGGTTTCAACAGATGAGGATAAGCTGAGGTACTGAATGAGTTCTTTGCCTCGGTCTTCACCAGCAGCCAGGATTCTAATATTTCTGACATCCCTGAGCCCTGCATCCCTAAACCTCTTGGTGAGGACTGGGGTGGTAAACCTTCCCCCTCAATGTAAGGGCAGAGCAAGTCCGAGATTGCCTCATGAGACAGAATGTGTACAGATCTATGGGGCCGGATGGCGTGCATCCCAGGGTTCTGAAGGAGCTGGCTGAGGTGGTTGCCGAGCTGCTCTCCATCATATTTGGAAAGTTGTGGCTGTCAGGTGAGGTCCCAGATGACTGGAGGAAGGGTCACGTCACTCCCATTTACAAGAAAAGGAAAAAGGAGGACCAGGGGAGTTACAGACCGGTCAGTCTCACCTCTGTGCCTGGGAATCACAAAATCACAGAATCAGAGAATCACAGAATGGCTCGAGTTGGAAGGGACCTCAAAGATTATGAATCTCCAACCTCCCTGCCACAGGCAGGGCCACCAACCTCATCATTTAAAACTAGACCACGTTGCCCAAGGCCCCATCCAATCTGACTTTGAACGTCTCTAGGGATGGGGAATCCACAACCTCTCTGGGCAGCCTGTTCCAGCACCTCACCATTCTCGTAGTAAAGAACTTAATCATGAAAGATCATGGAATAGACATGCTCCTGGATGACATGCTAGGTCATACGAGGAATGAGCATGTGATCCAAGACAGCCAGCATGGCTTCACCGAGGGAAGGTTATGCCTAACCAACCTGGTGGCCTTCTATGATGGGGTGACAGCATTGGTGGACAAAGAAAAGGCGACTGATGTCATTTAGAATCATAGAATCATAGAATCACTAAGGTTGGAAAAGACCTAAAAGATCACCCAGTCCAACCGTTCACCTATTCCCAATAGCTCCCACTAAACCATGTCCCTCAACACAACATCCAGTCTTTCCTTGAACACCCCCAGGGTCGGTGACTCCACCACCTCCCTGGGCAGTCCATTCCAGTGCCTGACCACCCTTTCTGGAAAGTAATACTTCCTCATGTCCAGCCTGAATCTCCCCTGCCGTAGCTTGAAACCATTCCCCCTGGTCCTATCACTAATGACACGAGAGAAGAGGCCGACCCCCAGCTCACTACAACCTCCCTTCAGGAAGTTATAGAGAGCAATAAGGTCTCCCCTGAGCCTCCTCTTCTCCAGGCTGAACATTCCCAGCTCCTTCAGCCTCTCCTCATATGGCCTGTGTTCCAGACCCCTCACCAGCTTTGTTGCCCTCCTTTGAACACGTTCCAGGGCCTCAATATCTTTCTTGCAGTGAGGGGCCCAAAACTGGACACAGTACTCGAGGTGCGGCCTCACGAGTGCTGAATATAGGGGAACAATCACCTCTCTGCTCCTGCTTGCAACACTGTTTCTGATGCAAGCCAGGATGCCATTGGCCTTCTTGGCCACCTGGGCACACTGTCGGCTCATGTTCAGCTGAGCATCAATCAATACCCCCAGGTCCATTTCCTCTACGCAGTCCTCCAGCCACACCGCCCCAAGCCTGTAGCGTCGCCTGGGGTTGTTGTGGCCGAAGTGCAGAAAAGGATGGTTGAGTTAAGGGCAGAGAAAAAGCCAACAACACACTTGGCTGCAGGAACCGAAGCTTCTGTGCACAGAAAACTCTAAAGGACTTCAAAGGAAGACAATATGTAGTACAAAGTTTGACCAAAGTTAACTTCAGTGTCATACTGCTCAGTTTTGTTTTACCTCAGGAGCTGGGCAACCTTGCCTACCACAAACAGCAAGAATATGCTTTGGGTCTTAATGCCACATTCAGACCTAAGAATGAAAACACCTAGGGGGAAAGTTTTCAAAATGCACTCTCAATTGCCATATGGTATTCAAAAGATCTGAAGTAGAGGTTGCATGAGGGGGGAAAATAAGTTAATTAAATTGTTAGTAAATAGCTACTAATAATTTCATTATAGGCATTTAAACTCAGTATGCTGTCTCTCTTTTGTATCTCCTGCATCTGTTCTGATTTTCTGTTTCATTGTAAATGTGTACAGCACTCTAAGAAAAGGCATCTTATTCATCTTTGACAAGGAGAAATTAAAAAGACAGTTGGCATTTTGGACTGTAATTTTGTTGCTATTAACATACAATAAAAGTTGGCTTGCTACCAGAGTTTTCAGCTCTTGCAGGTGCTACAGTAAGTATTCTTCTACACATGGCTGCTGTATCTTTCCAACTACATCCCATTTCAAAATTAATTGCCAGGGACCATTTTTTTGGTCAGATTTGAGGGAATAGAGGTGAGCTGTACTGCACCTGAAAGTTAGACCTTGTAACAATGCTGTTCTGCCAGGTATTACTGAAAACAAGAGAGGAAAATAAGGAGAACTTACAACCTATCAGGCAAAGGAAAGTGGGAAGGCAGACAGAAAAATGCATGAGATGGGATACGACACACCCTGAGGGAGTAGCAACAGGGGGCCTGGAAAAGCAATCCAGGCTTTTTAGTGCATTTTCTAGAACACCATTCTTCTAGTTTTGTTTCCCTCCAAGATACTCCAGGACAAGGAAGCTTACTCAGAACTGCCTGTAAGTTAGCCAGAAGAAATCAGCTTTTGCCTTTTAATGAAGATTTAAAACAAAGCAGGGGTAAAGCAAGAACTGGGAAAGAGTAGAGTAAGGAATTACCAAAAGGTTGCCTTTCAAATCATGAAGCCCTTGAAATAGGACTGCCTTTGCTTTTCACTTCGGAAGCTCTCAGAGTCTGGCCAGAGGTAACATGCTAGTGCAAACAAGGCCCATCTGAGAAAATGGTCACGGTACCTGACTCAAAGGTATAGAGAAGTAACATGGGAATGAGGCCATCACTTCCCTGTAGTGATAAATGGATGCTAAGGGTTGTGATGGCTTGTGATAGTACTGCTGTTGAGAGACCTAGCTCTAGACACTTCAGAATGACCTGAGTGCTCCTCGTCAGAAACCAGCCTCGAGGCCTGACATTTCAGACTGTGATAGCCAGATGCAGAACACTGCAGGATCACTGCAAAAATCCTGGGCGTGGACTTGAAAATGCTCACTGTTCACCATCATTTATCATTTTCCCTTTGTGATCAAATATCCTGAGGATTTTCACTTTCCTCTGGTTAAAAGCAGTGAGTTACAGAGAGCTTCTTTGTGTGCAGAAGCCATGTGAGCTTTTACACCTGCATGCAAAACAAAATGAATGTGTTTTTGTTACTACTTTGAACCATATAGCCACTTCTATTAAAAGCTGCATGCAAATAGCTATCTTTAGTGTGCCACAGATTAGTCATATTTGTTTTCCAAGGAAGATTATAAATAGTGTTTAGGGGGGAAACAGAATGTATTTTGCAAATGAGCCCAGATGGAAAACTAACAGATGGCCCAGTACTGGATTTTGTATGCTCAACCCCACATTTAAATTAAAAATTTTCATAATTAAGATGAAGATCCGTAACAACGCTAGCTACTTGTCCTGTGCAGCATTATGTGTCATGCGTCACAGGTATCAAGTGCAGACTTTTCATAAAATAGTTGTAGTATGTGTAAGCAAATTTTCATACATAATTAGTAGGGGGAAGGGGGAGAAGAGCAAGAATAAAAAGCAATTCATGGAAATTAAAGAAAGGGAAAAATGAAAATATTGTGTACAAACATATGCCATACAGGAAAGATACCTAGCACCATCTGGCTTTTTTCCTTTGCAAACTGAATGACCTGCCTCCATTCTTAGAAAAGGAAGGGAAAGAAAGGTCACATTTTTTACAGCCTTTCAGCCTGTTAGGCCAGTGGAACTTTCTCTTTTCATTGCCTGAATGAAATGGGGGTCTTTAATTTTAAGAACTGGAATATAAACAGATAAACTGTGATCATACGTACACACTATATTTTGCAAGCAGAAGCAAGGGCAGTGATCTGCATTTTAATATTTTCCTCCCATAAAGCGATGTCAATATGCACGATTGGTGTAACAGCCACAGATTCAGTTCCTAAAGCTGGAATATTACTCCACATGTGATCTTATGGTCAGGGGATTCAGCAGAACTCACCTCTTCGACATGAGGTGGAACAGGGGGTCTCTACTTGGTGTGAAACCCCATCCTATGCTCCCCGCTGCACAGAGCATTGCCCCCAGCATGGGAGAGACATGGCTCCTGCATTCACAGCCTCTTAGGAGAGAGAGAGGAAGAAGTGCTACTGATAGGATGTCTTGAAATCGAGTGCTCTTGGGCCACCCAAGATTCAGGAGGAGTAAGAATGGCTTCAGAGCATTTCTGCCTTCCCAGTGTGCTCACTGAAGTGTTCTCCTTGGCTGACCAAATTCATAAGCCAAGCTACCAGGCATAGACTTACGACGAGAGGTACAGCTTCTGTACAAAGGAACAAACACCACCGATGTACAACTGCCAGGGTTCTGCAGGGGTTAATAAAAATGATACTACCAGGAGACACTCAACAGCAACTCAGAAACTCACTAGTTTTACAAATCAGTTCGCTGTGGTAGAAAACATGCTTCATTATCAGATAGTTGCTGTTTCTGCTGCTCTGACAGTCATAACATTAAGTGCCTTACCAGAGTGCGTTAAATAGAATGACTCGTGACGATCATCTTGCTCATTTTCCTGCTCAGCTCTTCCCCATGGAGGGAATTCTAGGTACAGCAGATGTCTTGTTTTGCTACAGTATATACTATTTTTGGACATGTTGTGGTGTCTATTTTAGTGAAGGAATGACTGAAGCTGCATGCCTTGCATTGGAGCACAGCAGGGGATGCTTGTGACAGCTTTCCACTGTTGCAGAAGTCTATTCCACAGGCCAGTTCCCAGGATGGCAAAGGCAAGCTTGCCTGCATGGAACATCTGATAATAAAAAAGCCTCAAAAATACGGGCAGAGATGACAAAGATAAAAAATTCCATTTCAGATTTACCCATCTGATAGTATTCTCACGCATTTGTTGTCCAAATTGTAAATCCAAGTAAGGTGCTGTTTTCATCCTAGGGAGTGCTACCGTTCTGCTGCCAATGTTCTTTCAGAATCTTATATGTAGGTTTGACATTTCTGAAAGGTTTCTCCAAGAGAAATACCCACTTATCAATTTCTCCCTCCCTGCTTTTCCTCCTGTGTGTACCACTGATCTGATGACTGCAGAGACATCTGCTGGTTGTTATATGCTTTGGGTATTAATTAATTGAAAGGAAGACAGAAAATTTCTCAAATCACATTCAGCCTCTTTACTTTCTTTATTTCTTAAAGTTTGTTGAAATAAAGTTTGATTTATTGGTGCAATGGTGGAGTAAAGATTTGAACCAGCCTGTTTCTGTGATGGTATTTATCAAAGTTTTCCAGTTGGAGGAAATCTAGTTTGAGTTGTAACTCTTATTCACAGTCATCTACATTTAGAAGTTTATGATGACTCCCACATCCTATATGCAACTTTTTAGTATTTTTTGTACATTCTAATAGACTTTTGGATTTACTTTTGCATTGCAAGTGCAAATTCTTCAAAATAAAGAATATTCTTTATCCATCTGTGCAGTACTGTAAAAGCTAAACAGTAACTTCTACTTTCAGTAGTGGATATGGCTTTCTTTTCTGCATGTATGAGTATAGGAACCATGTCTTCAATTCTTGCCGTTTGCTGCAATTCATGCCACCCCACTCTAACCCTACATTGGCACTATTAGTCTATTCCACTTTAAGAAGCTCTTTCCACATTATCAGCTTATTTGCACCTCTCTGCTGACGTGGTAATCCATCAGCACTGAAACACTAGTTTAATAATCAACATGCAACCTAATCTGGGCTTTCCACGCAGGTGAATTTGACTGTAAATCAGTTCTGCATACAGGTTTGTCTCTTCTGTTCTTAATTGCACCTGAGCAAATCTTAATTTGTATACGATTGCCTAATATATTGTTTCAGCTTTTTGCATTTCCAGAAGTCACATTTCCATACTGAACACTTCTTGGAGAAATAAAATGACTCATTCATTAATTCAAATGTGACAAACAAAATAGTTAATATTTCTCTTAGCTAGTGTTACTTGAATTTACAGTCCATGTTCTACAAAGACTTTGTGTCTATAGTAGTAGCAAAGCCAAAAACCCAAGCAGATAGGTATTAAGGATGAAGGAGAATGCTCTGTTATATGTTCTGTTCCCATCAGGAAAGGGTGAGACGTTTCCTGATGCATGCCTCCTCAGCTTGGAAAAGGACAGGCAACAAAGAGAATCTTTACCATCTAGGTCACATTTTGTGGAAAGCCAGAGCTCAATGTTATGAATTATTTGTGTGTGGAATAGTTCCAGGATCAGCCCCAAGCCACCAGCAGCAGCTGCTGCAGCACACTATGGCCGTGGGTACCCTCATATAGGGCTGGAAAGACCCAATTCTCCTCTTGTCTTTGAGATGCAGTGCAGTGATGCTATAGTCTCTCTCTCCCCCAGACACAGCAGGCTGCAATGAGAGCCCCAGCCAACATTTAGTCTTGGTGCTGGGATGATATTTGTCAGAGGAATGATCTCTGGAACACAACCAAGAGATCAAATGCAAGGGCTCTCTATCAGCAAGGGCTGCTGATGGAGAGCAGAGAAAGCAAAAAGAAAGACAATGTGAGCATTTCCTAGTAGTAAGGCATATAAAGGAATTCATGATGGGATTTTCACTGAAGGAAATAATATAAGCACAAGTTCTCCTAACAGCGCTACACAGTCCCAAAATCAGACCCCTGCCCAGGCAACCTGTTTGGGAGCTGGCTATTTCTTTTGAGTAAACACAACATATTTCTTTTTCTATTTTCCATCTCTCTTTTTTTTTCTATCAGTATATCCTTTTCAGGAGTGCAGCTTTTCTGTATCTGCCTTTGTGGCTACAATAACTCAACACTTACAAAAGGAGCCATCAAATCAAAGAGATCCTCACTGATAAAAACTAGTGCTAGGGGCTGTCAGCTCCCTTAGCTGCCCAGTGTGATTGGTGAGATGACAGACCAGGTATTCCAGAGCAGGCTGTAGTAGAGGTTAATAGTCATGGGGACACCTGGGCTACACTGCAGACAAGAGAACAGGCTTTCATAGCAGATCTTTTTCTCAAGGTTTGCTCAGACCAGGAGTTTGATAAAGGTGCTTGTGATATTATACGCAAATTGATGCTTCAAGAAGTACATGCTGGGGCACTGTGTAGGAAGTCCTTATCAGTGTTTGATCACCAGTTAGTATCTTTTCCCCAGCCAGATTCAGAAATGCCTGCCTTAGGATAGGTGCAAAGACTGACGCTCACAGAAACACTTCCTCTGCCAATGGACCCATCAGGTGGAAAAATACTTGTGTGACAAACAAATATGTGAGACAAAGCTTGGGGACAGCTGCAGATTTTGGAGAAGTGACCCAGCACAACAGCACAGATGGAAGCAGTCACAGGGAGGAGTGGAGACTTGCTTTGGCTGGTTGTACGCATTCAATCACAGGAAATACATTTGGCTTGGCAGCAGGTGACATGACTTGGGAAGGACCATTTCTGTCACTTTCACCTTGGGATGTCCTTTCTCAAAGCATTCTCCAGCTGCTTCAGTTCCCAAAGAATGAAACAATCATTGCTCAGTATGAATCTTTTTTCTGGAGTTCTTCTGCACAGAAGAAAAATCTTAGTGGCAAGTAAAATTGGACCTTAATCTAGGAGAAAGAGGAGAAGGAGAATGAGAGAACAATGTTGTTTTATGTCTTGAAGGGAACAGCAAAGCTTTGTAGCATCTGCCTCCTAACTTATACTCACATGTTCTGACCAAGTTGACAATTAAAATAGGTAAATCTGTAATGATGATTGTTATGTTTTCTTAAGACAAGAATTCCTCTTAACTCACAGAGCCTGCAATTTTCTCTTCCCTGAAGAAATTTTTGTTTTGTCTTCAAATATTTTGTCTTCAAACATTTTGTCTTCAAATTTGGGCCACCTTTACTCATCAAGTCTTGAATGTATAATTCAAGACCTAGAAGCACTTTCACTATTGACAGATGAGGAGTAAAATTTGTAACAGGATTATTTCATAATATAGGATAAAACACAAATGCTAGGGGAACTATGAGGCTACAGCTTTGTTTTTAGTCTATCTAAGAGGTTTTATTTCTAACATCTGTTCTCTGCTTGCTGTGCTGCTAGCTGATGCAGAAGTTTCAGCTGTTTGCAGAAGAAACAGGATAATTTGTTTTTTAATTCCTTTCAAGTATATCTAATTCATTCTGTTCAAAGAACTAAAGTCAACAGTGGCAATTTATGCATGAACACGTGACTACGAACACTTGTCAAGGTTAGATGAGGTGAAGGCTTCTGACCCGGTCTGAGGAGAGTGCTGTAATTCTGCAGTGGGCAGGACTGCCTACAATCCTTCTGCTGATCTAAAAACCATCCAGGCAGAGCCCTGTAGCTCTGAACCTGCAGCAGCCAACTCTGCTCAGCATGACAACGGAGCGCATGTGCTGGTCAGTGCTGGGGCAGGCAGCTCTGGTGGGCATTCCATCTCCTGATGCCTCACTTTTGGGAGCCTGCAAATACCAGGTAAGGCCAAGGTACAGTGAAAGACACGCCTGGAAGCAGCAGGCTGTGTGAGTGATGGCACTTGGGTGTTTGTGGCTGCAAAGCTCCAGAGAAGAGGTCTGAAGTATTTTTCACACAGGGCTTGTGATCAGTGCAGGGAATCAAGCAGAACTTGATGCATAGGTGCTCTCCCTTCAGAAAGGTGGATGCAGCTCAGTGGCTGAGTTTATGCCTTATGCTGTCCTGCTGTGTTATATCATAGGCACCATGGGTATTGATGGTGATTAAAGTTGCTTAAGTGAGCAAGTCTCTGAAACTGCTAGTGGTGAGGATAAATCCTGACTAAAAGCAGGATTTCTGAATGCTGTAGAAAAAAATCATTGTGAAATTAAGTGCAGGAAGATATACGTGTCAAGCGTTTCTCTCTGTTTAAGGCAAATGTGGGGAAAATCTACAACACAGCTGTTAGGATGAGGTGACCAGTTATCATATGAACATAGCAAGTGCAGCAGAATGACTGAGAACTGTGTCTTGAAGCTGAACAACCTTCAGTGAGCAAGCAGCAGGCCTACAGTGCCCTGGAAATGGGGACTGAAGAGGAGACTTACAGAATCATAGAATCATAGCATGGGTAATGTTGGAAGGGAACATGAAGATCACCTAATTCCAGCCTCTTTTGTGGGCAGGGTTGCCATCCACCATCTCAGGCTGTCCAGGCACAACACAACCTGGTCTTGAATGCCTCCAAGGACGAGGCATTCACATCTTCCCTGGGCAGCCTGTGTCAGTGTCAGTTCACCTTCTGAGTAAAAAATTTCTTTCTGACATCTAATCTAAACATCCCCTCCTTTCATTTAAAGCCATTCCCCCTGTCCTATCACTATCCGACCATGTAAAAAGTCAGTCTTCTTTCTGCCTGTAAGCTCCCTTCAAGTACTGGAAGGCCACAATGAGGCCTCCCCACAGCTTTCTCTTCTCTGAGCCAAACAAGCTCAGTTCCCTCAACCTTTCTTCATAGGAGAAAATCTCCAGCCCTTTGGTCATCTTTGCAATCTCCCTGTGGACCCTCTCCAGCAGCTGCACATCCCTCCTTGCAGGGGGCACCAGGCCTGGACACAGATGGGG